ACCTTCAATTACTTCTTAGAGCACCAAGAAATAGGACTTTCCATATACAAATAAAAATATTTAGAAGTATTTCTTCTGTCAACTCTATCTTCATACAAATCAGAGCCTGAATAACATATCAGCTCTGAGTCGGATTTAACACCAGAAGGGAGCAGCACTCCATACCTCAGAGTCCCTTCAGTATCTTGCAGCTTGTCAAACTCTACAAATCTCTTTGGTATTTTTCTGATTCATTGTGGCATCTGGACTTGTTCAAAATCTCCTTCTAATTCTGGAACAATATCTCCTTATTGACTTTCTTCAGAAGTTTGACTACTACTAGAAGCTCCACTTTGTTAGCTTTTGAACCTCGTCCATAACCACTACCTTCAGAAGCACCACTTTCAGAATTATAACCTTCATCAGAGGCTGGACTACCTTCAGAAGCTCCTTCTTTAGAAGGTCCACCTTTAAGGACATAATTTTCATCAGAAACATGATCATCTTCAGAAGCTTGTCCTCCAGACCCTACGTCTTCAGAGTTTTTCCTTCTAGAAGCATGATCACCATCAGATTCAAAATATGGATCAAAATCAGATTCACCATCGGAATAATCTTTAGAGTCTCCAAAATATTCTTCATCTTCTGACTTTCGCTCTTCTTCATAACTTTCAATTTCATCTTTATCTTCAGAACCTTCAAGTTCTGATTCATCTTCAAAAGCAGAATCTTCTTCAGATTCTGACTCATCTTCTAATTCTTCTTCAGACTCAGAATCACCTTCGGATTCTGACTTGTCTTCAGCTTCAGAGTCATCTTTTAACTCTGACTCATCTTCAGAATCTTTAGCGTCATCTTCTGATTCTGACTCATATTCAAACACTTCTTCAGAGTCAGAATATTCAGAGTCATCTTCTTCCCCTTCAGAATCATAAAATAACAATCGCACAGGTTCCTCATCAGATTCATAAGCCATCAATAGCACATGTTCATCATCTGAATCTTCTTTGCCTATTTTTTGCTTCTTCTTTGTTTGACCAACAATCTTTAGCAAAGTGGTCAAACCTATTACAACAGTAACATTGAACCATTCTCTTATCATACTTCTCCTTCCCTTCTGATGTTTATTTTCATCAGAATAGAAGACTTCTGACTTTTGAGATCTATCATGTTTTTTCTGCTTCTGGTCCTTCTTGACAAAAGAAGCTTTTAGAGTCTACTTTACCTCTCTCTTAGAGGTTCTCTCGGTCAAACGCAACTCTTACACCTCTAGACTGCTTTGCAGCTCTTCTATTCTCGTGGTGTCCAGATCTTTAGAATGTTCAATTTCTACAACAATGTAATCAAATTGAGGAGTAAGAGACCTCAATACCTTCTCTATGATTACTTGTTCAAAAAGGGTTTCTCCACAAGCTTTTATCTCATTAGTGATCAGAATCACTCTAGAGATGTACTCGGAAATATTCTCGGTGTCCTTCATGTTGAGATTCTCATATTGATTTCTAAGAGACTGAAGATTCACCTTTTTCACTGATGAGTCACCACTGTAACACCTACTCAGTGTGTCTCACGCATCCTTCATCATCGTCGAATCAACAATTTTCTCAAACACGTTCTCATCCACACATTAATGGGTGAAGAACAACGTCTTGTGATCTTTCTCTCTTTTATCTCTCTGCATTTCTATGTTTCTCCTTCGCATCTGCTGTAACTGGAACATAATCATTTGTAACAAGCTCAAGAACATTCTGAGCACCAAACAACACACGCATCTGAATCATCCAACGATTCTAGTTTTTTCCATTAAATACTGGAAGCTTGGTGCTTAGACTACCATTTTCGGTCATCTTCAACCTTGTACAGAACACTCATATCTCACAAACAGTGTTTCCCAATCCTACAGAATGAGAAAATGTGATTCTGTTCAGATTTTGTTCAAAATTCAACACGAATTCAAGAATCAAAATCAATCACGCAGTGCCTCACAGTTTCACTCGTGTTTCTCGTGGATTCCAACCGGAGCTCTAGATACCAATTGTTGGTGCTTATGGTTAATAAATGAAGAAAAAGATAAGAGAGAATAATATTAGAGCTCTGCAATGACGGCAATAAAGTTGTAAGGAAGAATAATTAAACAATGATTGTTGTTATTGTTACTGTTACAAATGACAGCTACTACTAGTCTACTTATACACAAAGTAAATTACCACGTAGACCCTAGTAAAAGGTAAACTTAATGACTAAGTTAAAAGGTACAAACTAGAAAATATTAAACTTAACAGTTACGCTAACAAACTCAGCTCCAGAATCCCAAAAGTTAAGCATACTTTTGGGCGTAACCTCAGAAGCTTTTGTTTCTGATTAATAACAACTTCTGATTACATCAAACTACTGCTTCTAATTAAGCAATTTCATAAGTTTACAGTTTCTGGCTAACAACCTCAGGAGCTAAACTGCTTCTGAGCAAACATTGCTTCTGATTCTAACAACTTCTGAACATGAATTACTTCAAGTTATATAAAAATAATAATGTTTGGAGAAATAATTAAATTAGTTTCATATATGAAATTTAAGATTCTTGATTTTATTTTTAGTTTTTTTTGCAACATGGATTTGTTCTACATCCAAATCATTAGATTTTTTGCAACATCATTAAAAGCACTACACGTCTTCACTTTTTTTATATCAGAAAAAGACAAGGAGATTAAAATTGTTTAAATTAAAATAAATTATTGATTTTGTAAATTAACTAAAGTATAGAGATTAAAATTATAATTTAATTTAAATTTTAATATTTTGACTTAAATGTATTTTTGGTAGTTTGAGGATTTTAAATAATTGGTCCTCTATTATAAAATTTGTGATTCTAGTCTCAATTTTGATGGACTCCACTTTTGAAGATGTGACGTGGATGATTAGGATAGAAAAATTATTTTTAATTAAGTGGTAATGATGACTAAAATGATTTGTTAATTAATATGTTTTAAATGAACTAATATTTAATCATTTTAATTAAGTTTTTTATTAACAATTAATTAAAATAGTTTAACAAAGTTTTTGGGCCTTATAAACATCTATAATATTGGCTAAACTGAGACAAAACAAACAGTTACTGCAACATAAAGTGCTTTGGATGTGAGACAAAACAAACAGCTTACTGCAACTGCAAAATATAAAGCTTCATAAACTATTTCATCTTACAAAACACACATAATATTAACTGATTAGAACAAGAGTAATACTATACGGTAAAAATATTTGAATAAGAAAGACAAGAATGTATATTTTCCTAATAAGCATTTTCCTTACTACAAATACAAATGTAGCTATAAATGAAACTCTGCTCAACCTTCTTGGTAAATGCAAATCAACGCACCTCCTTGCCGAAGTTGTTCAATTTTGCTATGAGATAATTTAACATCAACAACTTCATCATATTTACTTCATATAAAACTAGTTATCCAACAGTGGTAGAAAAATTAATAACCACCTTATTTTTCGTCAAGGCGTGATCAATGTCCTCTTTACACTATAACCTGCTACGTCTTCCAGGTTCATTTGGAGATTCATGAAAACAGTATTCCTGCCCATTTCTTGAAGCAAGTCATGCATCCCTAGTTTACTATTCAACCGATCTAGAGTTATCAAAGATCTGTCAATCAAATCTTGAATTATAATTTGGGAGCTATAACCATAGTTTTCTAATATATCTATTACTTTATCGCTTTTCATAAATGTTCCAGTTGTGAATCACAGTGTTTATCTATTACTTTATCTCTAATATATCCTTTTTACTTTATCTATTAATTTGAGAGCTATAACCACAGTATTTATCTATTAATGTATTGTTTGTGTGTTGGGTTAATGCTACATTTCAATGAAATTCTAATCCATAATATTAACTGTTTTATAATGGGGGACTAATTGTTTAAAACACCTAAAAATTTATATATAATGGAAAATTTTACACTGTTAGTGCATCTCCTTCAAACTTATATTTTTTATCAATTATTTTCTAGTTAATTTTTATAAGTTTAAAAAATAATCAATTATCATCATTCTTATTTGTTCATTATTAGCATGTTATATTTTCGTCAAACATTACAATTATACTTTAAATATTCAAAAACTAAAATTTAATTGAAAACCACTTACAATTGTCAAGTCATATCAGTATTTCAAAATTAAAAACGTAATTCAGCCGAATACATGTTTTTCATTGATTCACAGTGCACACATATTTTACACTATTAATGCTTTTTTTTTCTCTTTAAATTATCTTTTATGGAAGTCATCAGGTTCACCTAAAATGCCCAAGCAAACAAACTATTTATGATCCTCTCAAGAACAAACGCCCAAGCAAATGAAAACTAACTATGATTTTCTCAAGAATCCATCACCCATAAAGAATTAATACAATATTCTTTATGTCAGATGATACTATTTGAGTCATCCAAACCAAATTGAAACTCATTTTATTTTATTTTTGAATCAGACGGTTTTATTTCTTCAAAACTGATCCAGATTGCATCACATTCTAATTCAACCAAAATGAAGAAACGCACAAGCAAACAGAAACTATTTATGATCCTCTCGAGAACAAATGCTCAAACAAACAGAAACTATCTATGATGCTCTCAAGAATCCATCAGCCCATACGGAACTACTAAAATATTCAAGTGAATTTTCCTTGTGTAATTTTGTACAAATAAAAAAGTTACAGGACACTTCTCAGAAGTCCAGTTCCCCGAAATTATTAAGTTTTGCTCCTTCAATCACCCAGGAACATCAGCTTTCTCGAAACTATACTCGGCGATTTTGCAAGTAAAAGCCCATAATCCCAATTATTAGGACAAAAGTTACATAAAGTTACCAATCTTTTAAGCAATGCCACTAAGGTACACAAAGCACCAAAGGCCACGGAGCTAAGCAAAGATACAAGAAAAATACTGAAAACTGATGTATCTTGCTATTCACACTAGAACCTAACCTATGTTAAGTTTGCACAAAGGTGGTGAGACTTAGAGATTGCGTCTTTCATTTCCATAAATACGCTGAAGCTCACGTGTTGCTGCTTGAAATGATTCTGAAGACCATTTTCAAGAGTTAAAAAATGGGATTACTGACATACGAAACAATAAAACTCGTCCTTTATCTTGCAGAAGTTAATTTTTGTTTAAAGTGGAGGGGTCAGGAATTTTTTACCTTTCCAAATGCGAAATGCCTTCTGATTAATTGGTGCACCGAAAATTGTTTGAATTGTGTCAAACAATGAACTCTCCGGGGAATTCCTCAATTCTTGTACTATTTGATAAATGGTCTTCCCATTCTCAAAATAAATATGATTGTTTGGATGTTTTGTTTTGCAACCGGCATGCCTTTCAAACTCATAAGCATTCAGACCCTAATAATATAAAGCATCAATCAATTAGTAATCTATAGGTTTTAAGAAATTTGAAAACCATTATTAAGGTGTGGGGCCAGAGTGTATACCAATGAATTACTAACCTTAGAATAGTTACATGACTGACACCCACAAAGATAGGTAGAGCCTTTTATAATCCCACGAAGTTCCTTCATTCACAGGAATATATCTTATAAAGTAACATTTCAAACCATATGAAATAATCGACAACAAAGACCAAACCTTACCTCCCGCGCCACTGAGACATACTTCACAGGAACACCATCAAGCATACCAGTAGATATCAAGCTCCGGACATTAGTTGGGAAGGTGGTTGGAGATTCTTTCCTTTTGATATCTTGTTTATTCTTGGTCACAGATTCAGGCTTTATTGTTGCCACCGAAGGAGTACTTTCAACTACACCAGAATTTGATGCATTCAACTCTTTCTCATGGGCTGTTGTTGACACATGAACTGATGGTTGATTATATAATTGTTCATAGTCCACAGTAGCCCTGCCCACAGAGACAGTTCCCCGTTCATCTGGGAACCCACCAAAAGAAATTATATTTTTGTCCTCTTTATTATAGGATTCACCAATTGATTGGAGTGTGTTATCTCCTTTGCCAAAGGGGGTACCAAACGATCTTATATGGGCATCCCCTCTGCCATAGGTGAGTCCCTGTAAAGTGACATTGCCATCCTTGTCAAAGGCTTGCCCTATTGACCCAGATCTCGTCTCAATTTCCCCATTATAGGCTTGATGTAGATCACCCTTACTCTGCCTATCAAAGCCATGTCCTTCTGGAGCTTGTACAATGTCGAAATCCTTAACTTGATTTACTTTGACTTTCTTGATTCCCCCAAAAGTCATACACGGTTCAGAATCTTCAGCAGAATGAGATATAGACAAGCCAAAAGATGCACCATTTCCATAATGATTGGGGATCAAATTTGACCTCACATTAGACTCATCAGCAGAAACATAAGTATTCTTTTCAGAGAAATTGACAGGCCTAGTTTCAGATCCAAATAACCGATCAATAAACTGGTTTGGGACTGAATTGAAATTATGATTGTTCTCCCACGGAGAAAAATTTACATTTGAAAATCCTGAACTAGATCTTTCATTTGCATCTTCAATTGCTTGCTTCTTGTTTGGCAAATAATCCCCTTCAGCTGCATCAATTAACCATTGATGAGGTCGTTTTGGTTCAGTTTTGGAAGGATTATCAAATACCGGCTCTCTGTCACTAACATGTCCAGATACTTTTCCCATCCAGAATCCCTTGTTTTGTAAAGACTGCAGGAAAAACAAAACAAATCAACAATGCTTCATATACATCTAAAATAAATTTTATTTATTTATTTATTTCATTCAATCAAACCAACTGTCATATGATAAAGGAGGCTAATTTTAAAAATGGAAAAATGATGCTATAAGTTTCCCGACATGGCAGAATATAGGAGGAAAAGGCGGCCTATTATTGCATTCTATAAAATAGAAGGGGAAGGGGGATTTATTATAATTAAACCATTGGGTGAATTTCACGAGTGATTCTTTTTGAAATGGTAGTACCATGTGATTATACAAGATGACGGAGAAATAGAAGGAGATGTAAACCATCGAATTCAAACTAGAATGTTAAAATGGAGAAAGACTTTGGGTATTTTATGTGAAGCAAAGGTACCGCTCAAGCTGAAGGGAAAATTTGATTGGACTACAGTAAGACCTATGATTTTGTACGGGACAAAATGTTGGGCAGTTAAAAATCAACACGGGAATAAAGTAAGTGTAGCAAAGATGAGGATGTTGTGGAGGATGTGTGGTAAGACTTGATAAGATAAAATTAGAAATAATATTAGAGAGAGTGTCGGGGTAGCGCCTATAGTAGAGAAGATGATGGAAAATAGAGTTAGGTGGTTTGGGCATGTAGAGAAAAGATCTGTAAATTCTGTAGTAAGGAGAGTAGACCAGATGGAGAGAAGGAAAACTATTTGAGGAAGAGGAAGACCTAGAAAGCATGTAAGAGATGTTATTACGAAAGATCTCAAGATTAACGATTTGGATAAAAACATGGTTCTTGATAGAACATTATGGCAAAAGTTGATCTACCTAGTTGGATAAGGCTTCGTTGTTGTTGTTGTTTAGGATCATGTGATTATAGCCCTACTAATATGTATATGTGAAGTTCTTAATGATTGCTCCTTCCAGTTCCATAATGCCCTGTGAGCTATAGAAGAAGGGTTTGGTAAGTAATTATAAATGGGATAAAACTCGTTTTTGGTCATATATTATTCCAATGATTTTCCACATTTCCTTTGGTAAATTCCAGAATCTCAACCTAATGAGTTCCAAGTGTATAGTAGAATGCTACCCAGCATTCCAGCTCCTTTTCTTTTCCCATCCATGCTTCTGTTACATGTCCACTAGTATTACAACTTTGCTTATTCAATCTTGGCGTGGTTGATGCAAGAGCATATTATGAAAATTTGATAATGTCTACCAAAGGAAAGAGGACCTGACAATCTAAAAGATTGAAAAAGAAACACAAAAGAAGAAGATAAACTTAAGTTTAGGTTGTGTCACAGAACTAGTTTTATTACAAGTTGCTAAGATTCTCATAGACTAAATATACCTCTACGATTTATTTATCCCTCAATTTTGAGCCTCCTAATCAACTACGAAATTCACAGGCTTCCTAACTAGCTCCATTTATAAATAGCTTTCTATGTAAGGCTTTTTTATCACAAACCATTTTCCTTTAAGCCCCTATTTTAATTGTGTATCTAACAGAAGCATGGCATATCTATGAAGCACAGACACCTCTAGGAGCAGGTGTGTCGCAGTGTCAGACATGTGTCTGTGTCTGACAGTTGTATGACACCCGTACTACTTGTAACCAGAAAATAAGGGATTGGATTCTAACAAATATATAGTTTGATCTACATCTACATGTACTTTATCATATTACCAACCATTGAACCCTCAATTAATCCTCAGGATAAGATAGTTAAATACCATTTGCTTCAACTCTTGCAGGTGAAAAATATTCCTGAAAAATCCACTATAGATTTGTTGACTTCAAGTGATAACTTTCTTTTTCCAAAGAGGTTCCTAACAAACAACTCCTGCAACAACAACAAAACAACACAATGAAAAAGCGAACGAATACATCAAGCAATGGAATTGAATTCACCAAACAAAATCCCTAGAAACTCAATTCGAATAAAAATCAAATTCAACATTACATTAGCCAATATTTGAGCTCAAGGTAAAAATTTGATAGCAGAAAGCTACGGGAAATTTCACGATCTGCAACCTCAGCGATGGTCGGAACCCTAACCGGAAGATATTTACGACGGCGGTGAAGTCAGAACCCCATTGAATGTGTGAGGAGCACTCGATCTTTTTCTCATCTAGGCGATGATAGGATGAAACTGAATTGAGCAAATCTCGTGGTTGGGTTTCTTGATGACGTACACGTGTGTTTGTTTAATAAATCTGGACCGTTGGATTTGTGTAAGAGTTTTATAGGAATCTTATTGGTTGGTATTGGCGAAACTACGTGAGGATTGAGGAGAATTGTCCACATAAATTGAACTTTTATTTTGATATAAAAATGTTTGATGGAGTTGGATCGTCCCTTATTCAAACTTTAATATTTGTGAAATTTGAATTAAAATCCTATCAACTGATTATTGTGTTAATATTCAAACTTTAATGAACTTATTTATAATTTTATTGTTTTTTTCTTAACAAAATTTTACCATTTATTTATAAATGAATAGTAAAATATTGTGTGTTTTTTACAATCCAATGTTTATGCATAAATACTCATGGGGTGAGAATATGTCATACTTACTATAAAGTCTATGGTCTAATCTATTAAAGTCATTTGCTTATTAAAAAGGTTAAATTTAGACTTTTTAAAGATGTTAATTAAGGGTCTCTTTAACTTGTATTATAAGAGCGCAAATAAAAAATTAGAAAATTTGAGTTGAATAAAATAATATTTAAGTTTTGTTTGATCGATGAAATTAGATGAACTAAAGTAGAATGAAATAAAATGATATTTTATTATTTAGATCATTTAAAATTAGATGAAGTGGAGCAAGATGAACTGGTGTGAATTTCATTTCATTTAATCACTTACCACCATATATTTTCCCTTAAACTTGAGCAGAATGAACAATTTGTCTTTTTTCGTCCTAAAAATTTCAAACAATGAAATGATATATTCGTTCCACTCTGCTTCATTCACTTCACTCTGCTTTATTATGCTATGTTCTTTTCATGATATCCAAACATAGCCTTAAAGTTTGATAGAGTTGAATGTATACTTTCCAAGATTCGTCCTAGGTTAGGTTACCACCTTTTTCTGTATCACACTCTCCCTCTTCATACGATCACTGGGCACAATCAAATTATTAAGTTGATTAAAATTAGAAATCCTTAAGATCTTCTCTCTCCTAACCACAAGGAACGCGTGAGTGAAAGCATAAATATAAGTTCTCATGGATTAGTCGTCATGAGGCTTTCGTTATAATCTTTAACTTT